CTGCAAGCTCACAATCTTGACCCCACACCTCTTTTTATAGCTTCAAATAACTAATTAAAAGCAAACTTATTAGAAAAATGAACACTTGAACATACATCAGCGTGATAAGAACTACCTAAAATGATGGAAACCATCTTTGGGAAAATTTATTCAAAGTGTAATTAGATTTTTTTATAGTTTGGCTTATGTCCCATTCGTTTACATGGAGAGGGCAGGGTTAATGACCTATACTGCAGCCAGCTATCAGATGGCTATCAAAATGTTTTGGCTTCACTTTTCAGGATGTGTGCGGCAAACTTGGTAGGACACAATTACTGGTAATTTAACATGGTTGTTTTCACCTGGTTTTGTTGAAAGATGCAGATTTCACATTGGACATCAAGTGGTGATCCAACACAATACCAAGTCCATAATTTCTATTTAATGTAATCAGGTCATATTTTCATATAGTTTCGATGATGAGGGAATATCACCAATATGTTGATGTATCCCAAATTGTTGAACACACACTCTTTGATAGCATTTATGTCGCTTTCATATGTTACTGTACATGACTTGCTTTATCATTATTCGCATTTAGCATGTTTTTGTCCCTCAGCTGTCTGCAACCCTATCAGAACATATCACCTGATAACCATTGATTTATCAGAGACTTTTCATCATGATCTTGTACTTTTGGTAAATTGTAGTCAACTGTAACTTTTGTGAGCAGCCCAGATCCTTAATCATTATGCTGTTTGTGGTAAATATGTGTTAAATAGGAAATAAGCATTACTGCTTACAAATTGAATGAAAAATACTTAAAAAAAAAAACTTTAATCAAGCAAGCGTTCTCAATTGTGTATTGAGATCACTTGACTAGGTTGATGTGAAACGCACATAAGAAGAAAACAGCATGTTGATTTGATCATATTCTTTTAGATGACAGAGAAAAGTAAGTTGAGAAATTTGTAAGATATACCTTTGCTGTTTTCAGACACCCATGACGCTTCATTTATTTGCTTCATTTGTAAATACGCATCAATGTCCTCATATATCCTACAGGATTAAGATGACATTACAGGTTACATTATAGGCCTAAAGGGATTTATAGTTATGTACAGAGACTTTTATTTTTTAATTGATTTAATCACTGCTGTCATACGCGTGTCTTACCTCTCAGCAGCTGCGGAGTTGCTTGATTCTTTAACCTGCATTTCACGTATTCTCATCCATTCTTTCACTACCAGATTGGTCAGCTCGTTATCATTTTTCTTGTCATGAAGACACATTCTCCGTCCACACTCATCTAGTAGTTTTTTGAGATTCTCATCCGCGTGGTCATATGGTTCTTCCAGTTTTTTCTCCTGACTGTTAACTAGCACTACAATTGTATTTTCCACCATTTTCTCTCCAAATCTCGCTTTCAGCTGGCTGAACATTTCCATCTCTTCCTGTGAGAGCTGTTTGTTCTGCAGAACCAGAAGAAACAGACGTGGCCCTGGATATAGGACTTTTATCTCCTTTATATTCTCCTCTGTTTCTCTATCTGGCTGCGGCCTGTGGAAAAGGTCTGGAGTGTTGATGATACAGACCATCTGATCATCTACTCTTTCTTCAGCTCTTGTACATGTGTTGTTGCTAGCTATGAAACGGTTTGCATTTAATATGGTATTCCCTATCATAGACTTATCATTGCTGTTCTTTCCCAGCAGCACCAAAGTGATCTTGTCACCACCACCAGATTGCTCCACCTTTGCATTCTCCACTATAACAAATCACAAGAATAATTCATAGCTTTTGAAATCTTGTCAAGAGAAAACTGGATTTTGTATTATGCTAACTTGAAACTTTAATCCACAACCCTTATCTAATCCAAAAATCCCTTTCTGTACTCTTGTGATTTAATTTTACAAGGCAGAGTTGGAATTGAGCTCGAGTATTCGATTGATGCCATTATTGCAACTATCAGTCTTTGTCAAGTCAAAACACTGCATTTTTACAATTACTAAATTCACTCAAATGTATCGAAGAAAAGGCTTACTTACATTGTAACATGCTGACTTGTATTACAAGAAACAAATGATGTGCAGAGTAAGAGTCGAACGTGTCTCTAGCACTCAATGACAGTTGTAAGTAAATGAAAGTGAAAAATACACTTGTCTTAAATGTATGAGAATAAAGGGCATGTCCAAAATCTGGTATAACACGTTGAGTCACTAGTATGCTAGATAACAGCTGTACTTGGCTTTATTTCTTCATTGCATGTTTTGCAAAAATGTTTGTCTTAATGCAGTAATCAAAAAAAATATGTATAATTTAGTTGGGCTTTGATTATCTGTGGAAAATGAGTAAGAGTGGCCAAAGGAAACATTTGTGATTAACATTATTAACATTTATGTTTTTTGTACTAAAGGTACAATATCCAAGCAATGGTGGGTGGAGTTAGTGAAAATAGCTTTTGGCAGTTTTAAGCAAATAACAACTCCAGTTTCTGTCTATTACAGTCTGTTACTGGAAACTGTGTTTGAACAGTGATTGATTTCAGATTCGTGCTGGTAGTGAGATTGTATGAAGGAATTGTTGGCGGTTGTGTTGCATATGTTTATTGCATCTTTTGGTTACACATAGACATTGCACTGTAGGATTACAACTCTTCTTTTGTATTTAGTAAAATCTGTTTTATGGCACAATATCAATCACACAGGACATATTAGATGGACTGAGCTGATTTCTAACTGGTATATTCAGTTTTTCTCAGATTCCTGCTTGCATGTTCTTTTGTCCTATAAGCTGTCCGACCAGCTCAGTGCTTTTCACATTACTCCTGTAAACATAAACTGTCTCCTTACACTCATCTAGAATCTTTTTGAGGGTCTTATCAGCTTCAAAGGTCTCTCTTAAGTTATTTTCTTCGTTACCTATGAGCACAACAAGCATGTTTTCAAGCTGTTTCTTTCCAAATCTCTCCTTCAGTTGGGCGAACATCTCCATCTCTTCCTGTGAGACAGTTTTGTCCTGCAGTACCATGATGAACATACGTGGACCCGCGTATGATGGCTTCATCTCCTCCATATTGTCAGCTACTGAATCTGGGCTTGGTTTATAGAAAAGGTCAGGAGTGTTGACAATACAGACCATCTGATCAGCTACTCTAGCCACAACCCTCTCACATGTGGCTTTTCCAGCCATGAAACAATCATGCTGGAGAATACTGTTCCCTATCAGGCACTTGTCATCGCTGTTCACTCCCAGAAGCACCATGGTGATGATATTGCAGTCACCTCCAAATGACTTGACATTCACATCCTCCCCTTATGAATAATAAAAAAATTAGAATGAATAATTAAAAAAAATTTTTTTTTGAAGGAAGTCTCTTATTCTCATCAAGGCTGCATTTATTTGATCAACTATAAAATAAAACCAGCAGTATTGTGAAATATTACCATTTAAAAGAGCTGTTTTCTATTTCAGAATATTTTAAAATGGAATCTATTCCCGTGATGGCAAAGCTGAATTTTGTCACATGATCCTAACATTATTCTATTTTTTTTATAATTATCAATGTTCAAAATAGTTGTGCTTAACAGTGCTGCTTAATATTTTTGAGGAAACTGTGATATAGTTTTTTTTCAAGTTAGTTTGATCAATAGAAAGTTCTCAGCATTTATTTGAAATTGAAATCTGTAAAAGTCTTTACTGTGAATTTTGGATCAATGTGATTATAATTTTAATACAGCATTGCTGAATAAAAAATATTAATTTCTTTAAAAAAAAAAAAAAAAAATACAAAAAACGTACTGACCCCAAACTTTTGAATGTAAGTTTGCTTTCATTAAAAAAACATTTTCAGTGCAGCATTTGGAGTTGGACTAGAATATTAATAATTTCAGATAATTAAACATAAGTAAGCATTACCTGGCATTGTCTTTGGTTGTTCTGAGTCATCGTTTTCCTGCTGATCAACTTCCTTTTTCATGTCTTCATGTAATCTACAGGATAATGATGAACTTTAGGGAAAAAGATAAAAATAAGCTTTGAACAATGCAAGAGACAATACCAAATGTTTCTCATTTGTAGAAGTTTACCTGCCAGGATCAGCTTCTACTTTCTCTGGCGTTTTCGTAATATGTATCAGAAGCTGTCTGACCAGATCTGAGTCTGCCGTATCTTTGCTGAAGACGCAAATTCTCTCGTCACATTCATGTACAATCTTTTTGAGATTTATATCCACTATGTTGCAGGACTGTCTTGATGTCTCTTTGTTGTCGATCAACACTACAGTAATATTTTTTGTCATTTTCTCTCCAAATCTCTCCTTCATTTGGGTAAACATCTCCACCTCTTCCTGGGACAGCTGTTTATCGTGGAGAACCAGGAGGAACATGAGTGGACCCGTGTATGATGGCTTCATCTCCTCTATAGCATTAGCTTCTGGTTCTTGGCATATTCTCCAGAAAAGGTCTGGGGTGTTTATAATGTAGAGCAGCTCGTCCCTCATTCTTCCTAGAGCCTTTTGATACATGGACTTTCCTGGCTGGAAGCAGTTATACCCAAGCATGGTGTTTCCTATCAGGCACTTATCAGCGCTGTTTTGTCCCAGCAGCACCACGGTGACAACAGCGTCATCGTCTGAAACTTGTGCAGTTTGATTTTCTCCTATGAAGATTGAAAATGGTTTTCTCACAATTAAATGCAATAGACAATTTTGAAGTAAACATATCAAAAGTGGCAGAGAATATAAAGAAAATTAGCAAAAGAGCAAAATCTTTAAAAAGCCGATCAAAAACTCTCAAACTAACAACTATGTTTTACCTTTTGGCATGTTGAATTTCCAGTCTGTTCTCCAGCTTGCGAGAAACACCTCTGGTTATATCTGTCATGAGGCGAAGCAGGAAAATAGTGATCAAACGAAAGTAAAAGCTAGATATATGCAAAAAAAAAGAAAAACTGGTGGCGTCACAAGAAAAACTGGTACTAATAGGGTCATGCAAAAAACAGTTTCAGTCGTTGACGAGAGAAACTGTTGCTGAAGGAAATGAGCTGTTCTAAGTGCCGGTGTTGTTGCCCCTCTAATATTCCACGACGTAAGTTGTGTGCTAAAACTTTTTACTTGAATGTATAGTATGGTTTCTAGTAAACTGCTGAAAGCTCAAAACTGCTCAAACATTTATCATGTTTAAATAGTTTAGAACTTTGTGAGTAAATGGAAAGTGTCTAATGTCTAAAGTCTATTGTCAAATATTCTGTGAAAGCAAACAAGGAATCTGTCAATTATTGTTTGAGTAATTTTTGTAAAAACATAAAATGTGCATTAAAAATACAATAAGTTAACTTCAAAGCTAAAGGACAGATAAGTGTAATATATGACTTATTAATACAGTTGGAGGGATTTATTCATGAGTATTAGTATTTGTGATGAGTATATGACTCATATACTTTTGATGTACATCAAAAAAATTATGGATTTGCATCATAAAGCATATATGTATATTAATATGATACAATATCATGGGCCAGGCTTAAAACGCAAAACTCCATTTTATACAATCCATCCAAGGCAGTTGATTTAGTCTGTACATGTTTCATTATCTTTTTTTTTTTTTCATCCTTTGCTGTGTTGATAGGTCCAGCACTTCGCATAGTATTGATTGGAAAAACTGGAGTGGGAAAAAGTGCTGTGGGAAACACTATCCTTTGTAGAAATGTTTTTGAATCAAGCCCTTCTGCAAACTCTGTCACTGAGCGGTGCAAAAAAGCAATGGTCTGTGACCAAAGAGAGATTTATGTGATTGACACACCTGGAATCTTGGATACCAGCAAATCAAAAGACCTCATCAAAAGAGAAATAGTGAGATGTATTCAGGTTTCAGCACCAGGTCCTCATGTGTTCCTGCTGGTGCTACAGATTGGCCGTTTCACTACTGAGGAGCAAAGATCAGTCCAGGCCCTGCAAGAGCTCTTCGGACAAGAAGCTTCAAAATACATGATAGTGGTCTTCACTCATGGAGATGCACTCAATGGCCAAACAATTGAAGACTATGTGAAAAACGGCCATGCAGAACTCCGTAAAGTCATCCAGAGTTGTGGTAGTAGATATGTTGTTTTTAATAACACTGGCAGGAATAATCGAGCTCAAGTGAGTAGATTAATTGTGAAAATTGATGAAATGGTGGCAGTAAATGGGGGAGAATGCTTCACTCAGGAAATGTTT